TATCAATACTTGTATCTAATTAAATTAGTTTAGTTAGGAGACAGAAATAACAATTATGATAAAAGACAGGAAGGACAGAGGTAGATGCAACATAATGTAGATGTACATTAATAAGGAAGGAAGAATTAAAAATAATAATTAATAATAACCAGCATTACACATATTGTACCAGTGGATCCTAATTTAGTGAGATCCATTGAACTAAATGAATGTCCATACCGTATAGCTTGATATTTTTGTGGGTCGATATTTTTGTGGTTTGCTCCTAGTGGGGCAATTTGTGGTTTAATTTTCGTGGTTGACAGTTTACATAGCCTGTAAGGGGATGGCACTTCAATGATTTCGTGGGTTTAAATTTCGTGGGCAGCCCATAACCACGAAAACCACGAAATTTACATTCCACGAAAATTTCAAGCTATACGGTATCCTAATGCTTGTCTTTTAGTGGGAGGAGCTCTCATTGGAGTAGGAGGAAAAGGAGGAGCTACTGATAGTGTACAAGTATTGAGAGTAGAATCCTATGAGAGGAGAGAGAGGGAGGGAGGGTATGTCACTCATAGTATTCTTACTAATACTATATTACTTACAAGATCAGTAAATGATTCATCCATTGTGTCTAACTGATCAACATTTTTACTAATAATATAAATACAATATGTACCACAATAATATCATAATATGTCACTAGTCTCTCTCTATACAGTATATCTATAAGTACCTCAATGGTGTGAATGGTCTTCTATTGGAACGATTTGATATAGTTCTCTTTACTTTCCTTCTCATTCCTTTAATACTATCACTAATAATTAATAATCAAGAAATAATAGATTGATGTAATATATGTACACAAACACTTTCTCTCTCTCCCTCCCTCTCTCTCTCTCCCTCTCTCCCTCTCTCTCTTACGTGAATGCTCTTTTAATGGTTCCAGTATCAATGGGTCCAATGCTACCTCCAGTCTTTGGCATTGAGTGTAATATATCTGATGAGGTCTTCCATACAAACATATCCTGTAAACAACAACAAACAAAAATAATTAAAAATAGAAAATATTGATAGTCAATGCCTTATGATACATACATATGTACATGTATAAATAAAATTTGATTAATTGAGCAGTTTTTGAGTTATGAGCATTTTAGGAATAGATTACTGTATAGCTGAAAATTGGGGGGGGGGGTAAAATTTTGGACGACTACTAAAGTTTTTATGATTGGCGAATTTTAATTTGGCAAATTTGTGTCCATGTGCCATTGAGCATGTACAATGTACCATAGATATTATACACGGAACAGGATTGGAAACAGGATCACGTGAGCGCATTATGCATTGAAACCAACCTAGTTTGCCGGGAACTGGTGACCGTAATGGACTATGAATGGAGATACTTTGTGGGACTGTAGCAATTACATCGGACGACAGAGCAGGCTAGTGTGAGCCTTTATAGCTACCTTTCAAGGGTCTTTAGTGGAATAAGGCATCTATCAGTGCTTATATCTATGTTTTAAAAAGTTATGGTGTGCTAAAATAAAGGGATCTTAAGCCAGGATGCCATTTCTCTCAAACTAACGCATGCGCACCAAAACAAACGTCTTAGTCCACTGTAGGATGTTAAGAAGTAGCTATAGAGCTAGATACCTTGTCATAAAACTGCCGGGTATTGTCTAGAAAGTCCTACAAAGTATTTTTAACAATCTCCATTCATCTCCATTACGGAATTCAAATTTTACTATTAATAACCACAAATTAACCAGCTCTCGGCAAACTAGGTTGGTTTCAATGTATAATGCGCTCACGTGATCCTTGTTTCCAATCCTGTTCCGTGTATAATATCTATGAATGTAC